CACAATACCTGCCATGGGCATGGAATGCCAACGGGCTCCTCTCCTCATCACATAACCGTAGAAGGAGTTCAGGATGCACTTGTGGGCCAGCTGCAGGGAATCGTAGAGCACTTCTCTGCCCTTGGCTGCCTTAATCTCCGCCGCATCACCAGAGGCCACTGCAGCATTCACCGATGCCTTGGCCACTTTGGTGAGACCTTTGTACTCGTAACGACGATCTCGGAAGGCGCGCACCGTGTCCACATAGAAGCTGTTCTCCTTCTGGCAGATGGTTGAAGTGCGGGTCTCCAGTTTGGTCAGCTTGGTCTTCTTGTACGCCTTGCGGCAGTAGTCCGTGAGTCGTTTCTTCTCGTACGCCGCCTGATCCTCTTTGGAGAGTTCGTGAAAGGCTCGCTGCGGTCCTCCAGGAAAGAGAGGTGGGAACTTTTCCGTCTCCAGCTGCTGCTGGATGCGCTGGAACTCGTTCCTCGAGGCGGGCAGCATCTCTCCGCGCCACAGCCAATCCATAGAGCGCTTACAGCGAACTCCTGGTTTATTGAAATCGCAGGCAGCGCAATCCAAATCAGTGACCATAGCCGAAGGTTGCAGGCGATTGGTGAGGATAATGTTGGGGTACATGGCACCCACATCTAAGTGATAGATGACAGGCTGCTCCAATCGATTGGGTATATCATGCAAACCCTGCAGTCCCTGCACAATCTCCTGACGGACTTCATCTAGATTCAACACCTTTTCGAGGGGAATGCCCTCCTCCACTTCGATGGCGTGGCGTAGAACCGCATCCACCTGTTCCTGCAGTTGCTTAACCATCGCGGGATCCAGGCGAAAGCGGCAGGGTATATCCGCCCGGAATACGCCAGATTCCAAGGCCTCCACATGGCCACCAACATAGGTTTCCGAATCCAGGACATGTCCCTCGTTGGAGAGCTTGTTTAGCTCGCTCTGGTGCTTGTTGGGATATACGATCTGGGCATGATAGGCCTCCACCATCAACAAAGTCTCGCAGAGAGTGCCGGAACCCTTTCTCAAAATCTCATCCGGTTCCATGGGAATAATCGTGTTCAAGGCGAAGATAAACGGATGGACATACTTCATGTACAGGTAGTAAGTGGCCACGGCATCGGAGACAGAGTAGTTGGCCAACACTTGGGGCTGCTCCACGGCCATGCGGCACATGTCCTCGGGATCCAGTTCCACGGGATCGTAGCGCAGCTTGGCCTTGGCCACTGCCTTCAAGCCTTGCGAGCCCACTGGCAAATATGAATCTCTCTTTACCCAGCAAAGGCAATCCATGTGTATAGAGGGACGACTTAAATAGTTGCCCTCCCGAAACTTGGAGAAGCCAATCTCTTGCTTCATGTCCAAATCATAGACAGCAGCACGCGTCTCCACAAAGGGCCAATCGAAGAAGTCACCATTGTAAGTGACTATAATATGCGGACGCACCTCCATAATATGATCAAAGAAGCGCTGGAGCAGCTGCATCTCGTTCTCCTCGTTGAAAACTATAAAGTTTCCCTCGAATTCCGGCTTCGGAGTGTACTCAAAGTCATCCACATTTGAGGAAATGATCTCCCGATTTGTTATAAGATATCCCTGACCATCGATCATGTAGGAAATCATCATGACCTGATCCGTTTGGGCATCGGGAAACTTGAGGGGCAGTTTGGTGGTTTCAATATCGAAGGCCAGGACCACGGGTTCGGGTCTGTCCAGGATGTCCGGTCGGCAGGTGATGGTGGGCAGTTCCACACCACTTCTGCACCGAATGTTGTACCACTGACCGCAGAAAATACGCAGATCGATGGAGACCCTAACGTGGTAGGGCACATCGTGCTCCCTGATGTCCACAATGCAGTCCATGTAATCCTGCTGCCGCTTGGCCATCGTGGCATCCTCGGAACCGGCAGAGGATTGGGCCAACGAGGTGGCCAGCATTTGCATGTAGTAGGTGTTGGATTTCTGGCGCTCTTGATTTCTCCGCACAGCGGACATAAGTTCCCTCCGAACTTTTGTCATGGCTGTCTGATTCAGGAAGGATAACTTGATGTACTGCTGTTGCAATCCAGACAGATGATTCGGCAGATCTAGATCCTCTTTGGTAATGTGCTCTAAATTGGAAATCTGGCCGGAATACTTGCGACCCAGAAATCGAGCCACCTCCAGGTGCATATTGTCCTCCGGTCGGATGAGCAAATACGGCTGATAGGCCACTGTGCATTTGAAGCGGGAGCCATCCATTTGGATGAAGAACAGATCCAGGGCAGCGATGAGTCGCCTGTCCTCATCCAAGACCTCGTTCTAGCGGGGATTACAAATCTTCAATCATGATCTTCTAGTTTTTAAGGGGTTCCTAACTCACCGAGTGCATGTTGATGAGGTAGCCAGTTCGCTCCTGACTGTCCTTAACCCGATCGAAGCCATATTTCGAGTCGATCTTGTCGTTTTCCCGGGACTGACGATATCCGGCCTCATTGAAGAAGTCGTCCCTGGGATTTAAGATCGTTAGAAAACCTTGTAGATCTTGGATTTCTGGTAATTCCGCAACTCACCCTTCAGCCCGGTTCTCGCTCACGAATTTACCCGTATTTTGCAGCACTTTGCCTTTGCCGGAGTCTGCCATTTCCGTGCTGTTTTTGTGAAAATAAAAATAAATGTAAATAACTATTTGCCGCCAAAAATCTGCAAACTCTCCAAGATGTACTAACGCGTTGTGAGAAATACCGCCCTTTGGCTGTTGCACAACACTGAAAGAGAGTATATTTGGCGCCAACTATGGATTTTTTTGAAATTATTACGACAAAACTATTTAATGGAATACACTCAGAGACTTTTGGCGCCAACTTAGGATTATTTTTTATATATTATCCGTATATTTGCCATGGTTTAAGTTCTGAAGTACATAAATCTAAAGTAAAAATATGTGTTCCAGCCGTTTTTAACAGGTTTAAAAGGATTTTATTAACGGAGTATATGGGATATATGGACAGTCTCTATCTTAAATTTTGTTGTAAAATTGTAGCTGCATTTGTTTTTAAGAAACAATTAATAGGTCACTCTACTCTAGTCAAATTTCGTTTATTTAATAGCCCCTAGGCCACTTCTTTTATTATTTGTAATGGACATTAAATGCTCTATTTGTTGTCACTTTAAGACAGCTGCTGACCACTTGAGTTGGCCTGTTGGCCATGTGTGTCTAGCTCGCATTTCCAACCTCTGAAATGTGCATTTTTTTACTTTTTCTCTCCGCTGCAATGAAATCATGCCATCACAGCACGCACACAAGCGCATTCATTCATAAAAATCCGGCTCACCTACACGAGTTGTAAAAATGCAGCAGTGCGAAAGAGCGAAAGAGAGAGAGAGAGAGAGCGAGGGCTGCGCGCATGCGCTCTTTGCATTCGGTTTTCTCTTTCTGCACTTGTTGCCCCCTTTTTTTGGTTTTTAATTTTAATTTTACCTTTGGTGCAGCAATTAAATTGCAGCAGAGGTTGACAATCAGCCATATTTTCCTTGTTGCACGTGTTTCGTTATGCAAGGCTGGGTTTTTAGTTTTCAGGCTCCCTTGGCCAGTAAAATCGGGCATGGAATCGAGTGTCGTTATCCCGAATCTTATTGCCCTTTTTTTCTGGGTGCAGCTGGCTGCGGCTGCCGCCCCTGCACTTGCATTTACTTATGCTGCATGCTGTGTAATTTGTAATTTATGCGAAATGCGTTGCCAGAATATAAAAACATCGCAGTCACTGCGATCGCCCCTCTCCCTCGCACACATAAACCTGTTTTTGTTTTTGGCTTGCCAGAAAGAGAGCCTTTCGATCGCACAGTGGTTGTCATGGTCACGGTGGGAAATATCGCCATCAAATGCAATTTTGTTTGGGGGTGCCTATACGTATTTTCACCATATCCTGTTTCCCACACTTTTGCTAGTTGCCATTTTTTCTGGCTAATATATTCATAACTTTCAAATGTTTAAAATTTAATTTTTTAATTGCATTTTTCATAATAAAACTTATGTTCCAGGGTATTTATAACGTCTAACAATAGTAAAACTCAAATTTAAAACTTGAAAGTTTTATCGGTAAATACTCATCTTTCAATATTTTAAACATTTTTATATTTTTTCATATGAAATATAAATTATGTGTAGATATAAAAAATATGAATCATGTTCTAATGCATTTATAATGATTTTATATTAAAAATGTTGGTGGAACTCGACTTTAAAATTCGAAAATTCCTGAAATTTCTTTTATTTAATTTCTTATCTTTTGTTTGAAATTAATTACTTACAAAATATTTAATTTCAATTTTGGTTAGTGTACACATAGAGTTTTTTGGCTTCCCAAATTTTATGAAGTTATTATTTTGCCACCCCTTTTTGAATATTTAAATTTTCTGTCGTTTTTGGACACTGTTTGAATGCTCGCTAAAAACGATCGCCCGCACACACACCCACGCATTCGCTTACTTATTCGCACTTACACAGAGTTCTGAGCAAGCAGATTTTTTTTTAAATTGTTGCTATTTTTTTGTCGCCGCAACACTTTGTTTTTGCTGCTCAAAATATGTAATTCTGATTTTCTTTTTTTTGCGCTCATGATGCACGCTCTAGTGGGAGTGCGAAAGAGACAGACCTACTGGGGATCGCCCACGCCATTTTCTTTAATTTTCGAGTGATCTCTGGTCATTTAATAAAAAAGTGAATAATATTTACAAAGCATATTGAAATTACTCTCGATTTTCATTATTTGCGATATTTTGTTATCAGTTGGGAGAGCAGCACAAGAAAAAAATTAGACTGACTTTGCGAAAGAGAGAAGTGAAGGAGAGCGAGACTGGGCGAGTGCGTCGGCGTTGGCGTCGACGCTGCGTCTGCGCCGACGCCGGCGTCGCTGCCGCCTGTTGCCGCCTTCGATTAGTCTCTCTCTTTCGGGCAGTCTGTTTTTGTCTCTCTTTCGGGCAGCGTGCACTACGCTACGGTAAATTTGAATGAACAACCAAATAAATAAAATAAAATAAATAAATAATAATTAACAAATACGAAACAATTTGCAATACAAGCTAAGAAAAAGTGTGCAAGTGAGTGCAATAGCAAAATCTCAAGAGATCTGCCTTATAAAGGTTGCGATAGCCTGAAGAAAACGGTTAAGAACCCGATGAAACCGAAATCTATATACAAAATCCATCATAAAACCACAAAAATCTCCTCAAACATCGCGTGTGCGCCTGTCTCTGTGTGTGTGTGTGTTTGCGATCCGTCGGCCTTTTCTTCGGTTTGTTTCTTTTCGCGTCTTATAAGCCGAGCTGAGCTAAACCGATCCCGAGATCCGAATCCCCGTCTCTCTTCTCGAGTTGTTCCTTTCGGTTTTTGGTCTGTCTTTGTCCCGGGCACGTAATCCCTCTCTCTTCCTCCTCCCCTAATCAACCTGCTGATCTGATCCCACCGGAGGGTTAAAACACATATACCTTATACCTTAAAACCATACCATAGTGCAAAAGAGAGCGAGCGGGAGAGCGCGAGAGATAGTCATCGGTGCTTTCGACTCCATCAAGATTGTGCGCCTAATTTGAAGCTGTAATTAATTTGGATACCCTAATAAAAACCCAGCCGTAAGACGGAATCCAGAACCCAGAGCCCTAAAATCAAGAACCCAGAAGCCCCCGCCTCCCTGTTTTCGAGGGGCGCTATTTTATTGCCCCGCACCGGTAAGAAAAGTGATGTGAAGTGTTGAAAAACAGTAGTTCAAGTATTAGTTTTTGTTATTTTCTGTACACTCGGAATAAAAATTGATCTGGAATTAAGAAATTTCACAGATGGATTTGCCTCTATACTAAAAACAATCGTAGGTCTAGCATTTTTCGTTCGTTTTCAATATTATTTAAGGACCATGCTGTTTTCCCTATCTAATCCTCATTGTCAAAAAAAAAACATTTCTAAATTTCAATTGGTCTAAACTTTGATTTCTGTAGAATTACTCCGTAGAATTTGACTTAAGGTTTGCTCATTTTTATTCCGAGTGTACATATGTAAACCCTTTTCTGTGTTGGTGTTGCCTGTTTTCTTGAATGAATCTAGGAAAAAACTGGTTTAGGCTACCGAGCGATCTGCCGATCTCGCGATCTCGCCTCGATACAGGATTGCTGCCTCTATAAACTCGTTGTTGGCCAACAGAATTTGAATTGGTTTTCTACCTCTTCATAGCCAAGCTAGTTAGCCGAGTGTGTGTGTTGGCCAGTAGCCTGTGTGTGGGGCACTTCCACAACCCTTGTGGGAACACGATCGAAATTACTACTGTTCCTTTACAGCTTCCGGTGCCGCAAATGAGCTTCCCTGCCCCTCAATGGCGTTTCGGCCATTTGATCCATTCGATCCAAAGAGTTTTGGAATCGAGAATGTGTGAACGCTTTTTGGTTAGGGAGCCAGAATGTGGAACAACGATCGCATTAGACAATTAAGTATCAATAAAAAGATACGGGAATGCTACTCTATTGACCTTTGAGCACCGAAAAACCAAAGGGGTTTTGTAACAAACCATAATTGGGATTTTCCTGTCTGCACTTTCGGTTACCTGAAGAGGTTTGAAAAGGATTGTTTAATATGGGATTTAAATCAAAGTAATTATTACAAGAAAAGGGATCAAAGGATGGTTAAAATTACATTTAAATCATATTTGGTATTCTAGACATAAAAAGAAGATCATATTAAGCAATTATGATCATCAAACATGTTTTCTTTAGATTTTGTATCAATGCTCCTTTGGTTGGCTTTAAGAATAAAGTATTTGATGTTATAAAATATCATTCGACGATCAATAAACCAGATTAAACTGCAGCGTTTTGACGCTTTCTGAAACTCTTCAGATAATTTAAAGATCCTTAAGGCTGTATAAATATACCGAAGTTGCAATAAAATCCACAAGAGAATGATAAGGAGTTATTGCCATAATCGATAATTTGATGTGTGACGATCGTTGGATCATAATTGAGCCCAGTTCTCGCCCCACTCCACCTCTCCCTGCTCCACTCTCTCCCCTAAATGAAAGACCAGTTCAAGATCCTTTTCCATAAATACCCACAGACAATTACAGTTCAGTGGATCTTCGGGCTTGGTTCGTTGCCCCATGCCACGTTTAACTCGGATTCAGCGCCCGGACCCCGATGCTAAAAGTATCAACCTGCTGCAGACAGGCCGAGATCAAGATCGATCCCATGACAAGACACACACAGATACTATGCCACACACACCATTGCAGAACGACGACTGCGACAGATAGAACACATGTGCACAGGCGGCAGGCATCCCGACGAGGATCATCAGCATCAGCGGATCGGAGATGGAGATGGAGATCCCTTCGAAGAAAGGGCCCAGAGACCCAGGCGATGGGAAAGAAAAGAAAAGAACAGCGACTAAATGTGTATTCTACCGTTACGTACACACCGAAAAATTGCACCCCTATTTGTTGCCGTTTCTTGTTGTTGCTGCTGTTGTTGTTGTCTGTCTGGCCGAGGAGTGTGCACCATATCGAAAGATCATATTCGTTTACAATCTGTTCTTTAAGCATCTGCTGTGCACAGACTCAAAAACCTCGGACTCCCGACTCTCGAGATCCCAGACATATTCTCTTTTGGTCCACTTACTCCAGAGCCCTCCCAAAATTTGCTCTTTTCCAGGGAAAACATATGCTCCGATTTTTCGATTCGTGTGGTTTTTTTGTTGTCGCCCTCTCTCGATGATTTATTTTTTTGTTTAGGTTATCTACGTGTCTGGGCGATAACGTTTGTTTTCAGATAGTTTGGCGATTGCGACTCTTTTTTTTTTTTGGCACCCTGCCGAATGATTTTTGGTGCTCTGCCGAGCTCTCGAAATGTTGCGAATCGAATTCGGCTCTGAATGGCACTTGCAAACTCATTAATTTGTTTCGATTTCATTTCCAGTCCCTGGGGAACTCAGTAATGCCCATTATTTATCTGCAAGCGAGGTGTTTGCTTCTATAAGAATGAGTTTTGGAATGCGCATGGAAGTATTTGCGATTGATAACGACAAGCGTCCAGTCATGTTTAATTGATTGACTAAATATACCCAAATGTAATCTCTACGTGCTAGAGGGTCCAAAAATGTAATTCCCCGTATCATTATTCTCTTTAAAGTGCTTGCTCAGATGATCTAAGATGTATTTGTTATTTTATATAGTATTTGAATTGCTTTTTCGATAGTTTAATCTTTTTTCAATTCCCTGAAATAAACTAATTTCATTATTTCGCGTTATTGGCATACTTATAGTTCCTGTTTCATTCACAATTTTCTTTCCCAGGTGCAAAAACTCTTGAAAGACGCCTTTTGAGTGACTATGAGTACTAGAAAATTCTCTTTTTTCTATTGCAAAGCAAGAAATCAATTAGACTTGCCAAAAGTTGCCAATTATCTTGGCCACTTTTATGCGTCAATAAATTATTTTCGTGTGAAAAGCGCACTCAGTATTGCTACCATATTCAAAAAATCATATGCAGTCCGCGATCTATATATATCCACAGCCGAAAATGCATATAGATTGTGTGCAGATTTAGTAATGTTGTTGCGGTTTCTGTTATTGCTGTTCTACATTGAATTGATTGCACTGGGGCGGCAGCAAAACTAAGAGGCGCGAAATAAATCAACTTTTTGTGGAGCGCGCAGAGCGTTTTCGCGACTGCAGTCGCTGATTTTATTATCCATTTAAATGTTGATTAACTTAAATTCGTTTTTAGTGCACTCACTTGCTCCCCGCACACACAGAAATATATAATGTATATCTGTTTTATTTTTTTATTTTGAACTCGAATACATAACTGTCCAGCTGGGCGTTTCAGTTTCAGTCGGCAACGACCACGGACAAAAATCAGCAAATCAAATCGAAATTGATTTCGCAAGAGCAAAAGCTGAAATTTATGCAACAGTTTATCATGACGCTGTTGCCCTAGGCAATGGGGGTATTCCTTTTAGGGATCGGAATATCATAGATCTTGAGATTCTCTCTTTGTGCTTTTGCTCTAAATCAATTTCCTTAAAAAAATCGTTATCCTTACGGTTAAATATATCCTAGCGTTTAAAATCCTAACTATTTTCAAAATATTCCCAGACCTTTACAGAATCTATAAAATGAACTAGACCTTCGTAGAGTCATAAATATTCGGTACTCTCTTCTTCCGTGCTTTATTTTTATTCAGTTAGACCAGTGGGAACATGGCGGAATTCTACTACCCATACCGAAATGTATATATAGCGCAGATTTACATATGTGTACGTCCATGGCTGATAAGAAGGCTAGATAACTGTTGGCCACACACTCACCGAGTGCCAAAGAGCGGGAGCGAGGGAGACGGACTTTGGAGGAATCGTCACCGATGCGACGACAGTATCTACACATTTGCATAACGTATCTAATTAGGCAGCCAGTGCCCAAAGATACTCCTCAGATGTAGCTCCAGATATATACATATAGTGGGGGCGTTTACCGTAGCGAAGAATAATATTTGTGGGATACTATGGATTATAACAAGAACCGATTCAATCTTATGGGGTTTTTAGTTTTATAGCTTTTTGGCTTTATAATACAATAAAAACAATATGACGTCAGTAACGTAATATTGGTTTTCTTGAGTAGAAATCTGTGAGAATTGTAATATGATATGCTATTTAAGAATTGGTAGAGCTCTTGCCTTGATTCGGAGAGAATATGATAACATTTTGAAAACCTTTTTTAAAATGATATATGCTTAATATATACATTTAATATTTCTTTTTTTATACTCCCAAAGACTGAATAACTCTTTGTTCAGCTTTAGTCCCAAGATAATAGCTTTTTTGTGCGTCAGTTTATTAGGTTAATCGTTTTCTCGTTATTTATCACTAAATGGCTTTTATCACACAAAGTACATTTAATGTAAATATAATATTGAATGCGTAATTACTGGACATTATCGCGGAGCCGTGTTATTTATAGTGGCTACTGGCTGGGCATGTGTGGAGAGCCCTCTTGTGGGGCCTTTGGGGATTTCTTCAACTGCTGCTCTGGTCTTCTCTTCTCCGAGGCTTATCTCGCCCCACTTCCGGTGATAAAAATTTCTAAGACTTATTGTTATGCGTTTCGGATTTGAATGCGGTTCGTATTTAATACAAATTTAAATTCAAGTGATTATGAAATCGAGGACAAGTGAAGCACATTTAACAAGAAAAGGCATTTGTCATATTCTCAAGTACATAGCTAAACAAGGATTAAAAAACTTTTTATGGTAAACTAAAAATGGTTTTATGAAATGGGATGCATTTCCTTTTGAAGCACCGGGACTAAATACACTAATTGGGGAACATTAAGGGAAACAAGCTCATGAAATCTGTGTGATCTTCCTGCCCAAACTCTTTGTGGCGACACTTCAAAGTAACTTTTCGTGTTTTCTTTGAAACTCACATCACATCGCTCCATGATCATCAACCGCTGCTTGGCCAGGGTAAATATTTGAGAACTCAAAAGAGAACGAAACCCATTAGAAATATATTTAGAAAATTGGAAACCCTTTGACTGGGGTCCCAATCCTCCCCATATGATGGATGCTGTGTAAACAGAATAAAAGCGTGCTCATATGCAAACTGTGCCTTGTCGGCTCCTTTTGTTGTGGTCTCTTTTAAAGGTGGCGGACACTTTTGATGTTCGACTGCCAGGGAAAAAGTGTCATAATTCCTTGAGTCAATATGGAGTTGGATTTGAGCCATGAAAGAGGTGCGAACGCCAGAGTGGGAGGTGCCAACGAGGTCTAATAAAGCCGGTGGAAACAAGCCAATAATTGAGCGATAATTAAAACACCTCACACCCAGACATCTAGTAATAATTGCAACGATTTGTTTATTGAGCGGCCAGTTAATTGTTTATTTTATTATGTCAATTTTGGTCTTTTTTCCCCGTAGATGCCTGCGCAATATGGAATTGGCGATTTGTAAAACAGATCTGTCTGCCACGAAATTCATGCTGCCGCCCTCTTTGCCCACATCTGCGGCCATTGGATCCTCATCATCAGCGGTCTCTGCAACGGCATCCCACTTCCTCGATAAGGCGGCCCACGAGCTCTTCCAATTGAACGCCATCAACGGACACCTGTTCAAGTCGCCGGCCAGCGGCCACCTCAATTCGGTGGGCAATCCGTCGATTCTGAGCCAACTCAACGGAATTAACAACAGCAGTAGCCACTCGGGCCAAGTCAGCACCATGAGGCTCAAGAAGAACCGCAAAGTCACCTTTCTATCCAGCCTAGTTGAGGTGAGTAAAGGAATTTAAGAAATTAGATTGAATTGCCTTCCGGGGGTAGGAATTTTTATAACGACCATTGAGTGGGCCAACACCCATGTTGTGAGATATAAAACTAATTGGTAATAATTCTGGTTTGCAAAGAACTTTATCCCTGATTGGTATAATCCAGAAGAAAATTCCTATTGAAGAGTTATTTATACAATCACGTCTTATCCTTTATTAGCGTTAGTAATTTGCTAGGGCAGCGTATCGATGTACTCCGTTTGTGTGGCGGCAGAGTTCGACCCAAGCCATTCCCTATGACTGTCTAATGAAAAGCCTTAGATATTACATTTTAAAACTTTAGTATAGTTTAGTATAGTCACTCAATGGTAAGCTTAAGCCCAATACTTCATATTCATCACTTCAAATTAAAATTCCCACTATAGTTGGTAAGGGCTCCACACTTTACCTATTTAAAACTAGGTAGCAATGACTGCACGTCGCTGATCGATGGCTGCATAAATCTATAATTTCTATATTTAACTACGTATAAGTGAATTTGCTGATCAAGTGATCGATAGCCTGTCCATCGGTTTCTATGCCAGTTTGACAGCCATTGCAGCTGGAGCCTCAATGACAGCGCGATTCCCTGCGATCCCCGACGATCCATATTGCAAATGCAGATCACGTAGATCGCATTCTAAATTTGGTAGACCAAACAAAACGCAATTATTATGTATTATGCTTTGTTGCGTTTTTATACGCAACACCCTGCTTTTTTGGCTGAGACTTTACAAATAAGTATAATTCATAGAATAATCTGTTACTGATCATAGGGGTAGATCTAAAGTGAGGGTGTACCAAATTCGTTGTCATTCCTTTGAAATGATTTTTGTAAACCATCTTTTGTTTATTTGCTATAAAAGCCATAAGCGTGCCACTTGGGGTATGACGACGCATCTGTATAGACAATAAGGCCTGATCAAAATTTGGAATAAGTAGGGACCTCGATGCGTAACCGACCAAAAAAAGTCAAACAAGCAACAATGGGACCCATGATCGTAAGGCTTCCCCGGCTGCAGCACCCTTTTCTTCAACACCTTTCCTTTTATCTGTTTGAATACCCTTTCAAAAGACCTTCCTTGAGACTCAGAATACCTTATTTGTCACCCTTTTAGTTCTTGACACAATCTCGAAGTTTTTAATTGATTTTTAAGGACCATATATTTGATATGATACTTTCTGATCTGATAAAAAACTCACTTTTGATCATAGAAATAAATAGGTAAACGTTCTATACTTTGGTCTTTTACAATTTGAATCACCATACATAATTTTTAAGATACAAATATTGATTAAATCTTACTTTGTTAGAAGTTTTATTGACCTTATATTAATGTGGCTATTTCAAAAATTAATTTCTTAAGGAAGTTTTCCTATAAAGCGTAGAGTAATACAATTTTCGGTTATCAAATAAGGCCCTTCCTTTATTTCCCACTCTCTCTGGATTCTTTGTGTTCCATATGAGGTTGACAGGTCCCGAGTGAAGGCATTTGACACATCGCCTGCGGTAAGCATATCCGTTGGCCCGCCGAGCCGTTGACCACTTTCATCCGGTCTTTCGGGGCCAACAGCCTGACCCCAAGCTGATCCTTTACCCCGTTTCCCTGCAAAAAGCCCCAAAAAGGACATGCGCATGCTCAGTCGGTTGGAAAATGCAGCCAGGTAATCCGATCTAGAGTGTCTGGCCTTTAGAGAAGCTAAGTCTTGGGTTTCCACCATGAGTAACTAAAGACTTGTGGATCGTAGAGCATGAAAATTGGGTTCCAATTGAAATTTTGAATTCTGCTCGGATTCGCTGAGAAATTGATTACGATATTTACGGAGCATTCCGTTTGACTACTGTGACCTCCATTATCATTAAGCGACCCGCACAGTCGACACAGTCAAACGTACAATTCAATTTATTAGAACGCGTTCAACATGATCGGATGGACCCATGGGACACATTGGGGCAGTCCGCCGTCAATTGCCATGGCAATCTATGCCACGACTTTGCGCCATTGTGGCTCTGATTATTGTGCCCCGAGTCTCAGTTTTACGTTACACTCACCACTCACTCACTCACTTTCCCGAACGAGGGGCGCAACACACATTTTGTAATTGGGTAAAAGTGGCTTGTTTATAAATATGTACAACACAATCATGAATGCCTTGTTGACTGCGGCTCATTGTGGTTCAGTTGGGGTGGGGATAATGGGAAGAACACCTCGTTGGGGGAGATCTAGAAGATCGGGGGATGGGTCTTGGCCAGGAACAACAAACAGAAGTGATGGATAGATCGTGCCTAATATATTGCTTTCTAATTAACAACTAAATGCGGGGATTAGCAGCTGCAAATGGTTGTTTGAAATGTCAATCAAGGCAATGTAAGGATCTGAAACAAATAAATTGAGAATTTTAGGAAGTTAACTTGAACCGCAACATTGTTCTTGGAATATTACTCCATGCTAGGCCAGAAATAAAGTATATGTTATTTTGTAAAGTTAAGATAAAGAATTGAATCAGAATGTATATTGAAATTTAAAACGATATACTGGCAAATTTCGTTAAAATTATTAATATACTCTCTGACTAGTAGAATAATGAAAACAATTTTTTGATAAGAAAAGTAATGATTGTGGAATTAAAATATTTTGAGAACCACATTTATGACTAATAAAAATGTTTTCCCAAATATAAAAAGTACATAAATAAGTGACCTAAGCACTTAAAATAAAAATAAATAAGACCATTTATGAATCAGTGTTTTTTTTTTATTTATATAAAATATTAGAATTCTTAACTAGGCTATACGAAAATAAAAATTTTAAGCCGAAACTAATGACACTTTTATTTTGCAGTCCAAAAACATTTTCATCAAGGAGGAGCCGATCCATGGTTGCAAGGATCTCTGCAGTTTATCGGATATTTCAGATCATGAGGCCTCGTTGGGTGAGTAGAAACCCCATCATAACCATGCCAATATATGATTGTACGGATTGTTTACTTTGGCCAAGTGCTAACCCATTTGCTATATCGGTTTCGTATACCTTTATACCTCTTTTTTCTTGCGGTTTTCTTTATATTTTGTTTGTTGAATGGCATTTCGAGGTCTGGCGAGCTCTGATAACAGATTTCCAAGAAATGGAAATAATTGAAGAGCAAAATGTTGTTGATGAGCAAATGTTCAACAATTATATAGTAACTGCGCGTTATGGCCATATCTTGACTCACGTTGTGTGTGTTTATATCTTATGTATATTAGTCAGATAGATTAGTTTTGTTTATATACGAATGCAGCAGTTCATAAGAATCCACCATTACTGATCCTTAGTTATTTCGTAGAAAATATTATTTATTAAATCAGTTGATGTGCGAAATATACCTATTGCCCTCAAAAAATATATGAAATCTTTTTAAGATACCAAGCTGTTGGCATACGCTTTATTACTAATATTAATAGTTATTATCAAAAAAAAAATGAAAAGGATATTTGGCAGTCATCACAACCGAGCAATATATGTTTAATGGTTTTTTGCGACTTTATTATTATTTTTTGCCTTTTGAACCGAGCGATAAAACGGCAAAAAACAGACAGAGAGTGAGCGAAAAAGCGAGCCAAATAATTTGGCGATAAGATAAGCCAACAAAAGCGTGTTGCTGGAATAAAAAAGAATCCGAATAAAAAGAAACAATGCCGAAGAAAGATATTTAGCCAGTGTGTGGGATCGTTTGTTATGGCATATAGCATATATCGTATGTTTTTATTATAATGCAGGCAATGAAATATACATAATTCCCAAGCATTCGCATAGTTTTGGGTTCATATTTCTGTGGAAAGTCACGTCGTTTGTTTCCGGTGGGCCCAGCCCCTTGGTTCCTGGGCAACTCCCCACCCAAAACCCCCCGGCAAAGTGCCAAGCGAACTTGCACATATTCATTCAGTCAGTCACTCCCTCATCCACTCACTCACTCACTCACTCACTCACTCATTCATTCATTCATTTGCTCCTTTAAATGCTCCTCAAAAGAAAAGAGATCTCTGCGCGCGGAATATATTTGCATTTGAAATACTCGAAATAAATGTATCTGAGAAATGTGCAAAGCTACCTTTTCCCTCCGCTGCTGCTGTCAATCAGGCAATACGTCAGTCATTCACTCACTCTGTCAACTCTTCGTATAGGTAATGTGACAAAACATCGTTGTCGTTGCCGCTGTTTTTGTTGCTTTTCTTATGGCATGTGTCTAGTATATTTTATCTATTATTTCACACACAGTCTCGGGGCAGAAAGAGATTTCGTGTATCGGACAACGTTTTATGGTAATTTGTTATGCATCTCTGCCCTGCTGTTTGCGAGGCGAGAACAATGTACAAAATATGTGTTAATAATGGGAATTTCTCGGATAGTACATAGTTTTTGGTATGACGGCGATAAAGTAAGTTGGAGCTTGATGACGAAATTTAACCCCCATTGAAATTACTCTGGGGGAAAACTCCATAGCATTTACTGGGGACTAAGAACTGATAAAAATATATATTTACTTTGGTGGTATTTAGTGGGGTGACTCTTTAGTTATTTAAAGTATAAACAATATATAGTATATAAACTTATACAATAATAATATTGAAAAGGAAACCCCTTATATCACAGCCATGGCAAAGATCAAAAACAATGCACTGCCATCTGTCCAAATCGTTGGGATTGAAACGATCTTAGTGCTGTTTAATGTTTATAAAAACAAATAATACAAATCTCGTAGGGGATTCAGTTTTTTCAGCGAGGCAGTCACCGAAAAAGAAAAGGAACCCCGAAACGTAAAAAGTATTTATGTATTTATGTCTTATCGCTGCGTAGAGATCAACAAAGCGCAAACAATTTCAATGTCAACGCAAACCCAAGACTAAAGTCAGTGCCCAACTAAATATACAAATGTGTAGTGAACGAAAGGGTGGACCTGAGTTGCATGTAAACTTAGGATCGTTACAGAGCACATCTGATATTTTAAGATTTTAAAATATCTTTAAATAATATTACTCATACGCACTGTGATACTTTCCAAGCTATATGTTTTTAGAAAAGTTCTGGGACTTTTTTTTTAATAGAGGTCCACCCTATTGCGCCTATATAGTAGTGTGTACCATTCTACATACATAAATATGTATTTGGACATATGTGGGACCCAGTCGAGTCCCTTACTGAAAACGACTGGCAGCCTGAACTTTTCGCTCGTCGCTAGAAGATCGCGGCCATAAAATGGCAACAGAAACAAAAAATAAATATAAAATCACAAAAACTAAAACAAAAAGGCGGAAAAAGCTGAAAAAACATGCAAAAACGGCGACAACTGCGCAGATGCTGAATGGAAAATGGGGATGGCACATAAAAAAGGGGGAACTTTGCGGGCCAGAAGAATCAGAGAAAGATCGAGAGCCAGGCACGCAATTTTAGTTTACATTATGTGGACGAAAGATACATTCAATACTAGGGCCACTCTAAAGCTAAAAATCTACCTAAAAACTAAAATATTCCAATGAAAAAAAAAATTTTTTCAAAATCTCAAAAACAAAGGTACAAAAAATATGCAATTTCCTAATGCATATTTTTTAAAGTAAATCAATTTTTATTTTATATCATTACTAAATAGTATTAGTTCTCTAATTTTTTTTAACAAAATTACCTTGCTTGAAAAATTCTCCTTTTTAAATAAGTACCAACTATTTATTCTCAGTGTACGCAAAAGGCTGCCCTTATTTTAATTATATGCGCACACAGATACGAGCGCTCACTCACACACGCACACTCGCCCGTCTTAATCATCTCTCATTAATCATAAACTTTGAAAATAACAAGAAACAAAACGAAACGAAACAATAAATAAGGCAAATTAAATTTTTGCTTATTAAATATGTGTGCTATGATTTGTATAAAAAAAATATTAAAATTCAAGATCTCAGAGAGTGATAGGAACGGAGAGAGAGCGGGCCCCACCAGAAGAAAGAGAGTGCGAGAGCCTGGCGTCGACGCTGGCAGCGCAGTCGACTGCGCCAGCCCCACAACTTTCATTCATTTGGCTGCTCAATTCATTCATCCCCGCGCAGTCGGCGTCGCTGCCGGCGTCGCTGCGCCCCAACGCTCTCCGGCTCTCTTTTTGGGGCCTCTGTCTTGTCTCTCCAAGAAACACGTTCGTTTTCATTCATACTCGCCAGGCAACAAAAGCAACAAAACTAGCTGGTTCTCGAAAGAAAAATAAAAAACAAAAAGCAAAGAAAACCAAAAAAGAATTAAAATGCAGTTGATGAATGGGGGAATGGAAATGGAAATGGGATTGGAAATGGGAACGGGAATGGGAATGGGGGACTAAAAAGGCAGCGACGAGTGGATCTTGTTGTTGTGGTCTCCCTCTCACCCTCTCTGCGATTTTTTATTTGTTGTTGCTTCCTCTGTCATTGGGGCTTGATGTTTGTTTCCTTCCTTTTTTGCGTGTGCCTGCAGCCCCATCCTCTTCTTCCTCTCTTTCTAGGCTGGTTCCTGCAAACCGGCTTCTTCCTCTGCTTCTTCTTCTCCGGCTTTGTCTTTTGGGGCTCCTCTTTTATCGCTGCTCCAGCCTCTCCTTCTTCTGCTTCTGACCCTCTGTCGACGTCGCTGCCGCAGCCCGTGGGCGACTTTGGCTGGAAGTCCAACTGCATTCGTTGTTGCTTTTTAATACCCTGCAATGTAGGGTGTTACGATTAAAGTAGGATGATTGTCACAAGGTTCGAAGCCTGGTCTAAAAATTAAAACTAAAGTTTTAGGAGTGATATGTTTAAAAACAATATTGACTTTAAAAGGACCCAGGATGTACTCAAAAGCCTAAAATTGGAAACTAAAGTGGATTGGGTAACAAATTTTTTTTGGGTGAAACTTTTTTTTGTGTGATTATTTTTATATAAATAATGGTTAATAAAATACATTTACAAAAATCGCAAATGAACATCTCTAATATAAAGAATCATAAATATTTTCTTTATAAGCACAAGATCATTGCAATTTTTTTTGGTAATTTATTCATTATAATTTTTCTAATTCTCCTTATAGAACCCATCAAGAGTATCTTAACTTCAGCCATACTCAGTGTTTATCCATCCCAGTTTTGTTTTTATTGTTTTTGTGTATTTATTTTGATTTTTAGCTGTTCGCTCTTTGGCCAACTTCTTATTTATTCATAATTTGAACTCCCCCCTTCCAGCCACCCTACCCGCCTTCCACTGCCCTCCCCCTTCCAGCCATTCCACGCACAATTTGTGGGCAGCTGCTGCACATGGAAATATGGAAAACTGGAAAACGAGTTGCCAACACACACTTGCTCGTGTTTCTGATTTTAAGTTTTTTGTTTTAATTTCAGTTTTTTGTTACCTTTCAAATTTCTTGTTCACAGATCTTTTTTTTTTCCTCTTCTGCGGTTGTCGTTGGTGGTTTTTTTTTCTTGGTTTTTTGTTTTTTTTTTTTGGTTCGTGGAACTGCTGCGTTAACAACTTTTGGTTGTTGTTGTTGCTGCTGTAGTTGTGCTGCTTCTACAATTTTTCATTCATTCATATTCAAAGACATGTGAGTGTGTTCATATGTATGTATGTGCGTTTGTAGTTGGTTATATCGCCTGTTTTATATTTCATATGCACGCCACTTTGTACTCACTTACTATTTGTGATATTCGTTTTGTTTGCTTATTTTTCCCTGCCTTTTTATTATTACTTTTTTCTCTCTCTGTCTTGCCTTTCGGCGGTTTTTCGCCTGATTCTGCTTTATTCATTCATAAATTTTTACAGCCCATCGTTGAATTGTGTTGTTGTTTCGCCTGGAATTAATAGCTCAAGAACTTTTTGATTCATTTGAATTGAGGCCTTAATGGCGGCATAATTCGGTGCATTATTTCAGTCATTATAGCCCCTTGAAGATCTTTTTTTGCACATATTT